TTACAAAAAGTTAAAGTTTTATTATTAAGATAGGCACATTATCTATATCCGTGATCATTAACTTGTGATCTGCCCAACTTTTTCTGCTGATCAGCTATCCTAATTGTTAGTGTATTTTATGTGTGGCCCAAGACAATTGCTCTTCTTCCAATGTGGCCCAGGAAAGTCAAAAGCTTGAACCCCGCTGTTCTCAAGCAAGAAGAACAGTGAGCAACACAATAGTGACTTCATCAAATCTCAATCCAAATGTTGTGAGACTTGCAGTCAGAGTGCAATGCCTTAGACCAGCCTTTTTCAACCAGGGTGCCTTAAGGTTTCTTCAGGGGTGCCTTGGCAAAATGCCTAAAAATTTACCAAAAATTGTATTCAAGCCAGTGGGTGGCTGAAGCCTGTCTGTTAGTTACACAAAGGTTTTCATTGTGCACCATTACAACCTTCTAGCTGCCGCCATTCTAACAACCAAATATATCATCAGTTGATAATGGGGATGTCAGGTGCCTGCACAGCTTCCTTCTTTGCCCTTCCCATGTCCCTCTCCATCAGCACTGGGGTCACATTAGCTGAGCGAGGGAGTGAAACTGGGAGAGAAGAGAAATGCTAGAATACAAAATAAGTACCAGTGTGCAAAGGTGTATTTGCTTTGGAAGAATAAATCACCTCTAACATTGAGTGCCCTACATGTGTGGATGTTGCTGTGTTTTACACAGATCTATACTCAAAAACAAAAAAGTTACTAAAAAAAATAAATAAAATAAAACACCCCCAAAAAAAAAAAAAAACAGCAAACAGGCAGACTCAATGGACCACTTGGTCTTATCTTCTACTACTGTTCTATATAAAACGATTTGTTTAGTTTTTTTACATTTTACAATGTGGTTCTTCTAGATTGTGCAGAAGTTTAAAGGGTGCCGAGACTGAAAAGAAGTTGAGAAACACTGTCTTCGACTGTACTTTCAGATATACAGATATGAGGCTCAATGCACATGAAGTGCAGTTCTAATCTTTCTGCAGGAATCCTAGACTAAAAAGGTAACATTTTTCAGAGTACTCAGGCATGATTAACATTTCTACATGTTTCCTATAATATAGCAAACTTTCACTTTTAGAGTTCAGATCAATAAAACAGTGGGAGAGCCACGCTAAATGAGAAACTGCTAGGTAGGGGCCCCCATTAAAAGGAACCTATTGCTTTGTCCTTCAGGACTTCTGCAGAGAAGACATACCCTACACAATCCTGTCTTCAAAGCTCCTTTTCTCAAAGCGAAATGATCTCTTTCCTGCTTTAAAACTCAAAATAAATCTACAATTTGTGGCTTGCCAGTTGCCGACTATCTTTACCTTCAACACAGAGTAATTGACCTGGAACAAGCACACTTTTAGCGAATTTACAAAATCCTGAAGTGCATATGTCCAAGACGTTAGTAACTCAGGAAATACTGACATCATAAAAGGTGTGACATAACAGACTACAAACTTTTTTTTTTTTTTTTTTTTTTTGGGAAGAGGCCAGCTATAGAGGTCCACATACTTTTCCTATGAAAGGTCGCCATAACAAAAAAAAAAAAGGAAACCTTTAAGGGCATATTTTTTTTTTTTTTAAGCCTTTAACCACTTCAGCTCTGGAAGGTTTGGCCATTGTGTGCTATTTAGCACTTCAATACTTTAACTGTTAATTACATGGTCATGCAACACTGTTTTTATTTCATTTTTTTTTCACACAAATAGACCAATTTTTTTTAGTATTTGATCACCACTGGATTTTTTTTTATTATAAACAAAGGAAAAAAAGACTGAAAATTTTGGAAAAGAAAACCCCACATGTTTTTACTTTCTGCTATAAAAACATATAATAAAAATATTTAAAGAAAAAAAAAAAAAAAAAAAAAAAATCACATCTCTTCATAAATTTAGGCCAAAACGTATTCTGCTACATGTCTTTGGTAAAAAAAAAAATATCCCAATTATTATTATACAGTATTTATAAAGCACCAACGGTTCGCTCAGCGCTGTACATTACAATAAGTACCATACCAATAAGTCTATACTGATTGGTTTGCATGGAAGTTATACAAAACCTATGGCATATATACTCAAATTTTTTTTTTTTGCTACTAATGATTTCTAGTGGAACGGTGATACTGTGACGATCAATCTGACACAGACATAACCAGTGACGCTAATACAGTGATAATAATACAATACACTGTCACTGTACTAATGACACTGGCTGTGAAGGGATTGCCATCTCAGGTTATCAAGGGGTAATATGTGTGCATAACAAGTGTTAATTTGTGTAATGTGTGCTGCTTTTATTTATTTTTTTTACTAAAAATCTTTGTTTCTTCTTCCTGCTTTGCAAGAAGAAGCAGAGAGATTGTTCCCTCTATACAAACCTCTGTGTTGACTGTCAACAGAGAGCTCTGGGCTGTGATTTGACACAGCCAATCAGCAAGGACCTGCTGACAAATTCCCACTCTGTATAATCACTGTGGAAATTGGTGCACACCCTGTATCCAGAAGAGGCCAGCAACGTACAGGTATGTAGCTGTGCCTGTACGAGCTGCCCATCCGCAATACATTGCAGGTGTGCGGTCCTGAGGTGGTTAGACACAGTTTTATTTTCGCCTACGTGGCCATGCACATCAGGCAAATACTGTATATCACCACTTTTATAGCAGAGTTTAGAGGCATAAGGAAAAAAAAACAAACCAAAGCAAAAACAAAACAAACAAAAAACCACACACCAAAGTTGCGTTCAGTGAAGGTTTTAGGATTATAATTTACTGTGTACATATGCACATTAACCTAGTGGCCATAATTGACATTCTAGCCAGTAGAATGGGTTAACACTTGACGTCATACACCTGTACACGTTTAATTACGTGCCAAAACAATTTTTTACACTTGAATTTTTTGTCATCTCCTGGAAGAAAGATCCAGTTTAGACAGGAGTATTTTAACCACTTGCCTGCAGGGCACTTATACCCCTTTCCTGTCCAGGCCAATTTTCAGCTTTCAGCGCTGTTGCAATTTGAATGACAATTGCGCAGTCATGCAACACTGTACCCATATGAAATTTTTACCATTTTTTTTTTTAGACAGATAAAGCTTTCTTTTGGTGGTATTTAATCACCTCTGGGTTTTTTTTTTGCTAAACATAAAAATTAAAAAAAAAAAAAAAAAAAAAGTTTTAGTTTTTGTTATAATATTTTGTAAATAAAGTGATATTTCTCCTTCACTGATGTGCGCTAATGAGGCTGCAGTGATGGGCACTGATAGATTGCACTGATGAGTAGGCACTGGTAGGCATTACTGATGGGCACTGAAAGGCAGCACTCATATGGCAGTTAGGTGGCACTGACTGGCACTGTTAGGTGGCACTGAAAGGCAGCTCAGATGGGCACTGTTATGTGGCATTGATGTGCACTGGTAGGCACTGATATGTAGCATTGATGGGCACTGGCAGGTGGCATTGATGGACATTGACAAGTGGCACTGCTCTGGCTACACTGATCATCAGGGCACACTGATCATTAGTGCCCTGATGATCAGTGTACATGTCCCCTCTGAGGGATGCCGATTACCGGCTCTCCTCTCCTCACGAGATGTCAGCGTGACAGCTCGTGAGGAAAGAAATGCCAATAACCGGCATTTCCCTATTTACATGCAATCAGCTGTGATTGAACACAGCTGATCACATGACCAGCCGACATCTTCAGCTCTTTCCATTGATCTGTGATCCTCTGTGTCTGAGGGACACAGCACACCATCGATCACCACACTGCGCGCCCCCGGAGCCACGCATGCGCGGTTAGAGTGGGAGGAAATCATATGACATCCTCCCGGAACGAGAGAACCGCCTTGACCCCATCATTACCTTATATTGCGGGTGGGAGGCGGTTAATATGCCCATGTGGGTGATGCATAAAGCTTCTTCTTGTTCGCTCTACTCCTAAATACAGTGATGCAGTGCAGGGAATGTCTAAATAAAATTATTAAGACATTCCATGATCTACTGTTTAACTTCTATTAGGTGTGAAAAGCTTTAACAGCTGCTTTCTTTAAAAAAAAGAAAAAAAAATGTAAAAGAGAAGGGCTATTTATTATATATGTTTGCTTTATCATATATACAGAGCAATGTCATTTATTATCCACATACAGAACAAACAAGATATTTGACTCAAACAGTGTGGAACACTTCAGCCAGTAAGTTCTATTTTGGGTGTAATGAAATATTCCTCTTTTATTAAAATGCATCTCTCCAGTTCCAGCAGCAGTGTGGGAAAGCAAATGTGGCATTTTATGTATTTTTTTCATATAAAACTTTATTTTAGTTTTGTAAAAGATTTCTGCCAAAAATAAACAAAATAAACTGAACTGTGCATATAAATGACAGTCATTTAAAACTGAAAACTGCATTGCAGTTTAACAAGGAAATTAAAAAAAAAGGATGAAAATAGACATTTAGAGCAAAAGCAAAAAAAAAAAAAAAAAAAAAAAAAAAAAAAGACAGCAAAGAATAGAACATACCAAGAAAAGCCTGTAAGAAAAATTAAATGCATCAAGAATCCTGCAAGAATTCAGCTACAGTATAGAATATTTTAGACATAGCATCCCAGCTATGGAATATGTTATCACATTACCAATCTCATATGGATAAAATGGTCTGCACACTGGCTATTGTAGTACATTTAATAATAGAAATGTACGGGTAAGAAATAAATAGCTTTCTCGTGTAATCTGTTTACAAACAATAAATGCCATGTATCGGTATAAGCATTGCCTGTATACATTATAGAGAATCAGAATGTTCACATTCACTACCACCATGAATTGTACGAAACAGAAGACTGTTCCAATATACCGTTTCTGCACCAGTGCAAAAATTAAGAGGAAAGACTCCAGCACTTTACTGCAGGAACTCGAGTGCCAAAGTTACCTATGATGCTGCACACCTGGTGGTTCCTATGTTCCCATGTATCGATTTAGAGTGATACCAGCTAATTTAATTTGCCAGTAGTGTCTATCTTCCAGGCACCAGTTAGATATCGTAGTCTTATAAAAAGGAGGTCTTGACCCATCTGCAGCCAGCTCCAGAAAGGCACCAGCTTGGATCCTGGACAAAAAAAAAAAAAAAAAGTAAAAAATACACAAAAAAGCTGTCAAATTCAAAGTATGTAATACTAAATAGTGACCAATCAGAGCAAGATATTTAAATATCAATGTTCTACACCACATGTGTCAAACATGAGTCCTGCGGGCCAAATTCAGCCCGCAAGATGTGGCCCTCACACCTCTCCTGCATGGCGGCACCCCCTTGTCTCAGCAGTTGGTAGCAGAAAGGACAGAACTTCTCTGCCAGATTCTGTGCTTCTCCGTTTGGCCGTAAAGAGGCTCGTCTCTGCTCCCCACCCCTGTCTCTGCTGTCTGTCGGCAGCAGAGAAGAGGACAGCTGCGCAGCCGCAGCACTCCATCTCCACTTCCCTTGGTCTCAGCATTCAGCAGACTCTGGCAACTGACTTTAGACTTCCTCTGGTCCTCTTCCAGACCCTTCCCAGCTCTGCCGCCAGCTTCTTCCCCGCAGAAGCACAAGGTAAGGAGGAAGGGGGGCACTGTGATGTAAGGGAGGGTGGGGAAATCTTGACTTCTGATGGTGGGGGGGGGGGCTCTTGTCATCTGATGTAAGGGGGGGGGGGGGGTTTCACTGGACACTTAGTCCTAGAGTGAACAACCATTCCTTTAAAGGGCAACTATAATGCTGATGAGGTCCACAATGAAATACATTGATCTAAAATGATTTAAAGAACTCCTCCAAGACTTAAAGCGAAGCTCCACCCAAAAGGGGAAGTTCCGCTTTAAGAACTGCTCCCCCGCTCCCCATTAAGGATTGGCACCTTTGGGGGGCGGGGGGGGGGAGCGGGGGTACCCGAATTTGATAGGTACCCGCTCCCATTTCTGGTCCAATCGTCTAGGTGATCGGAAATGGAAGGTGTCCTCCCTCTAGTCCAGGGGTGGCGAACAAGTTAGACACAAAGAGCCAAAATTTTAAACTGTGAAAGTCAGAGAGCCACACCACGCAGTGACCTGCCAAAACAGACAAACACTCACACAAAAACACACAATTAAAACCATATTATTCACCATAACACTTTCTTCCCCTTACAAAACAACAATGTGTTCATTTCAAGGTAAGTGTCCACCCTCAACACACACATCAAATGCAACTTAGCCAGAGTTAACACATCAACTACCCTGGAGGTTGCTGTGGCACCTGTCTCTCTCTCTCTCTCTCCTCCCTTCTCTCTCTCACTCTAACACACAAGTATACAAAAAAAAAAAAAATTCTGAACTAATGGACTGCAGACAGCACAGGGATGACCAGAGACTGCGGACATCACAGGGATGACCAGAGACTGCGGACAGCACAGGGATGACCAGAGACTGCGGACAGCACAGGGATGACCAGAGACTGCGGACAGTACAGGGATGACCAGAGACTGCGGACAGCACAGGGATGACCAGAGACTGCGGACATAGCACAGGGATGACCAGAGACTGCGGACATAGTACAGGGATGACCAGAGACTGCGGACAGCACAGGGATGACCAGAGACTGCGGACATAGCACAGGGATGACCAGAGACTGCGGACAGCACAGGGATGACCAGAGACTGCGGACAGCACAGGGATGACCAGAGACTGCGGACAGCACAGGGATGACCAGAGACTGCGGACAGCACAGGGATGACCAGAGACTGCGGACAGCACAGGGATGACCAGAGACTGCGGACAGCACAGGGATGACCAGAGACTGCGGACAGCACAGGGATGACCAGAGACTGCGGACAGCACAGGGATGACCAGAGACTGCGGACAGCACAGGGATGACCAGAGACTGCGGACAGCACAGGGATGACCAGAGACTGCGGACAGCACAGGGATGACCAGAGACTGCGGACAGCAGATGACTGCTGACCTTTGAGAGGTGGGGAGCACAGGGTACCTGAATTTGACAGGTACCCGCTCTTACTTCCGCAGAGTTTTTGTTTGATCTTACCTGTTCCTCGATCCAGCCGCACGCTGTCTTCCCGGGAGGTCTGTAATGGCGCTCGGTACATGACAGCCGGGTGCCCAGTGCGCATGAGCGAGAAGCACTTGCGCTTTGTGATTGGTCCGGCGGCTTCTGGGATCTATCATGTGTCCCAGGTACCGCCTTGCCATTCACAAAAAACACCGCTTCTTGAGCATGCGCACTTGGCACCCCACCCGGCTGTCATGCCCAGTGCCCACACTACAGAAGCTGGAAGACAGCGCGCCGCTGGATAGAGGAACAGGTAAAAATAAGAGAATGAAACTTGCCGGGTGCCACAGTGCAAAATATGAGCGAAAGCACTTGCGCTTTGTGATTGGTTGGCCGGCGGCTTCTGGGATCTATCATGTGTCCCAGGTACCGCCTTGCCATTCACAAAAAACACCGCTTCTTGCGCAAGCTATCACATCCGGGTGCCCACAATAAAGATGCCGACCTCCTGGAATCCAGGACGGTCAGTTAAACGGGCTGCGGGGGGACACCCCACGGGAATGAGGGACAGGTAAGTGGCTGTTTTTAAAAAGTCAGCAGCTACAGTTTTTGTAGCTGCTGACTTTTATTTTTTGACAGGTGAGTGGAACTCCGCTTTAAACAACCTTCTTTTACTGTCATTTTAAATAAAAGATATGTTTAGATTTCTAAATATAACAATACATTTCTGAATCTTTGAGCCCTCTTAACATGAAAAATAGATGATATGCATAAGCAATTTGTAGCCTGTACTTGCCCTGTTGGAAGATCTTTGGGAGCCATGTTGTACTTGTGTTTTCTCCTACCATTGACAGCTCTGGTATGCTGAGGGGGAGGAGCAACTATACAGTAATAATTTTCTTTTAATTATTCCATGTGTACATGAATTTCAATGATCCATATTTACAGTACTACATTTTAGCCTCTCTATGGCTTTTTAAGGTATGAGATTGAACATAGAATGCATCATACTATGTGAGGGAGTTTTACCAGAGATTCTTTCCTGGGATTAGAAAAACAATTACACATCCAGATCTGGAACCAGCAACCTTTCATTGAAAAGCCTTGGCAAAAAAAACAAAAAAAACAAAAAAAAACAGCGAATTACCTCAGAACTCCTTGATACACGCTGTAAATTGATTCTTACATTGATGCAGCATCAGCATAATGGGTTTTTGTTTTGGGTGTAACAGTATGAGCAGCCATCTCATGCCCACTCACTCAGTCCAGGTCGGATTTGTTTTGCAAATTATTTCATCAAAAAGTTTGTTGGTTCTGGCTGTAACGGATCATTTTTCCTAATATTTGGAGTTGTGCTGAAGTTGAGCAAAGCCCCAAACCTTTGGCTGGTTCAAGGGAAGAACTGCATTGACCTCCTCCACGTGCCCGCCAGGTTTTTTGATCCTGATCTGTTGAAGGTGTATTACAGGGCTCCCTACAGAAAGTCAAGCTTGTACCTATTCTTTTTTTTTGCTCTCTTCATAGTTTCTTCTCTTTTGTAGTGGAGCTGGAAAAGATGAAGCCACAAGAGCAGAAGAGACATGGCTTAAGCATCCTGCAGGTGTGTTATGCACCTACACAATTATTAAGGCTCCTTCCACATGGTGAGGACTCCACAAGGAGTCTGCTTACACAGCAGGAGATCTGTCTGCTGATCCCTGCTGAGCAGGCAAATGGCTGGTCCGTGTCCACCTATGCAGAGCGGACGCAGACACAGCCTGCTCTCCTCTATGGGTGGTCAATTTAGACAGACCACTTGTCCACTTACACCTGACTGCTATCTGATCCAATCTGCTACACAAAAGCCATCTGTCTGTTTCTAGCAGATCAGATGCAAGTGTAAAACGGACACATGTATGTTTACACCCGCTGCTCTAAAGAAAAGAGAACAAAGGGTCAGCCCATGTGAAAGGAGCCCAAAAGAAATATGCTACCATTGCTGACCTGAACCTGCTAGTAATCTGCCTTTTAAGCTGATGCTTTGAATATTTCTCAATTGCTTAGTTGGAACATGCAAAGAGATTAGGAATCTAGAGCTTTTAATTGCACAATGCTTGTTGCAGGTCTGCGACTACAGAAGCCAGCCAAAGTTGGTAACTGGCATTTTTTGGGAGGTCAGCAATAGCAATCCCATGTTCCTCTGCCAAAGTACAGCTTGCAAGTTCTGCTTTTTCCAGTCAGGTGAGTGAGGGTGCTCATAGTACACTCACGAAATTGCTGAATCAGGAACACTAGGGGGCTGGAAAAGCCTCTGAAAAATATGCTGATCTATCAACAGCAAAAAAAAAAAAAAAAAAAAAAATTTTTTTTTGAGTCAACGTTTGTTTCCATTTTAATAGTGAATATTTTAATGTAAGAGTATGTTTTTTTTTTTAACCTTATACCATAAAAGGAACCTTTCTTCCATTTTAGTATGTTTACACCTCTTTTGGCATTTTGGAAATCAAATCTCTCACACTACAGAAAAAAAGCTTCATGGAGTTTGCAGCTTTCAATATTGACCTCTTTCTCAACATCTCTCAAGATCACATACAACCAATGGAATCAAACAGTACATATGAGCAGACTACATGGTACACTTTCACCTTACCTTCAATTTCCATCCAGTTCACTGCAACTTCTGCAATGGGGATCTTCAGGCACTGAGCTATATATAGGAGCTCCACATCAAACGCCCTGCAGAAGCAGGAGATACAATATATTGATCTGAGCTATAGAGGGCTAATTCAGCTGTCATTACAGTTCTGTGCAGAGACCATTTAAGAGATGAGGTTGTTAATCTGGCAGAATCCTCTTATTATGAAGAGAAAGGTTAATTACACAGATAAGAAGGTTAAAGCACAGTAGTGATTTTTTAATCACATCAATCAGAAGAGCTAGTCTGGAATGAAATACAAATATATATATATATATATATATATATATATATATATATATATAATATATATATATATATACATACATACATACATACACACACATACACATATATATATATATATATATACATACATACACACACACACACACACACACATATACACATATATACATACATACATAAACACACACACACATATATACATACACACACTGTATTTTTTAAATTATTAAAATAAATCGGTCCATCTGAAAATGCAAAAGTTTGCTAATCCTTAAAATGTATAGTATTAGTAAATTTATCATACTGGTAAACTGACCCCCCCCCCCACCATTAAACCACCACAATGAATAAAATGTATATAAATTAACAGCAATATGGGGCTGAAGGAATCGGATTGGTTTGATACCTGAAGCCGCTACAGTTCTTCCATAATGCTAATGAGCAATGGTACTTAGTGTCATAAAATGTACCAACAACTGAACAGGCCAACTGACCCATGCATTCTTTTTCTCTGGATTTAATATTATACCTCATCTCTAGTTTATGGTTACTCATACCCACAGCTTTTGTTTTTTCCCCAGACTAATGCAGGCCATAGGCGGGTCATTTATCGGACGAATTTTCGTCCAAAAGAATAAAAATCGCACGATATTCACACTGTTAATGGGCAATGTCGTCGGCCGATTTTTGCGGTTCCTTCTTGTTTCTTTTATCGGTCATACTGGAAAATCTTCGAAAAACTTCCGATTTTCGTAAGCATTGGTGGCAACAGAACGATCGATTTTTAGTTTTTCGGCCAACAAACGACCCGTCTATGGCCTGCATAACACCCCCAGTCACATCAAGCCTGACTTTTGAAATCATGCGACTTACAGTGAAGTTGCACGATTTCAAAGTTAGGGGACATGCTGATTTCAGGTGTGATTTGCAAGACATGACACAGATGTCTATGCAAATCGCACCAAAAGTAGTGCATGCACTACTTTAGAAATCTGTGCGGCTCCGACCAAGTCGGAACCGCACAGATATTTGCGGACAATAGGGTGCGACTTGGAATGCGAATTGCAAGTCGCATCACATGACAATTCACATCTAGTGTAACCGAGGTGTAAATTCGGCAGTGCTATGTTCTGCCATCCCTGGCACTAACCCCATGCTCACTAACTTGTTATCTGTAAACACAAAAGTTGGTAATCACTTCCTCTGCCAGCTTCTGTGTTTACATGTGACAGCGTGCCTCTCCGACACAGAACCCTCACTGCCCCATCCAAAATAACAGAGGAGGAGGAAGTCAGCCACACCAACCTCATGGCAGTGACTGCTCCTACAGCCCTTCATTTCAGCCGGGACGGAGGACTAGTACTAGCTATTCTTCCACAGAAGACCCTCCCTCTGCCACTCTGTACAAGGGTGGGGTGAATTTGGGGAAGGAGGAGAGGGGTTTGTTTTTGAGCAAAGCATGCTGTATTTAAGGGTGTGGGAGGTAAACTTTACCGACCCGTGTTATCCACTCCTCAGCTCTGCACTCTTTTTCACTTACTCCTGAGGCCTGTATGCTTACCATTACACACACCTCAGCCCTGAACTATATAAACTTTGTTGTACATTTCATAATCCCACTGATGAAGTCTGGTCCAGGACGTAATGTGTATTCATGTTCTTTATGTCATCCTGAGGCCATCTTACCAAGAGGCATTGTGTTTGAATGATGGAGCGCTTATGTCAGCACTGTGAAGTGCCTATTCCTGTGACATTTTAATATTGGCAGCATTAAATATAGAGTACTATTGGTTGTTCCTTTGTCTTCCATGAATGTCCCTGCATGTTTTTGTGCAGAGGAGAGCAGCATATTATCTGGAAATTAACCTTTGAAAGGTAAACATGCATTTGACCTGGTGGTGGTTCAGTGGTCATTTTCTGAAGGTGAGTGGCCATTCACTATATGAGGAGGAGGCGAGTGGCAAAATTGGGTGTTGGCTATGAAGCATGATGGTGATTGGATTTTCAACACAGTTAATTTTTGGACAATTTTTATCTATGAACATTATTAATTGAATAGATTGATTTCTCGCTGAAGAGGTTGCGCTGCACTAATCATATATATCACACTCCAAGGTGTTGTGGAACTGCTTTAGAAATGTTTTAGCTGACAACCTTGTTTCACTTGTTTATGTAACGTTACCACAATTCGATTTATTTTTTGTTATATGTACTCATTGTGACTGAGCAGACAATTACACTTCTTAAGAATTCCTCTTCTAATAGGCTTGTAAATGACTAATGGGGAGAGTTACTAAAGCTGGCGCACTAAGAATCTGGTGCAGCTGTGCATGGCAGCCAATCAGCTTCTGACATCAGCTTGATCAATTAAGCGTCGACAATAAAACCTGGAAGCTGATTGGTTTCTATGCACAACTGCACCACATTTTGCAAGCTCCAGTTTTAGTAAATAAAAAAAAAAAATAGAACACAGAAAAAATAGAAAAAAAACAAAAAACAAAACACAATACCAAATGCCTGTATAAGCGGCATTTTTTTTCCCAAGCACAGTGTGCAGGAGACCTTAATGGTTTTGTGAAGTTCTTTTTTAGGGTAGACCGAAAAGCATATGTGATAAAGGAGTTTATTTATTTTTCCCCTAAATAATTGTGCTGAGTTTTGTATACATCTGTGAGACTCTCGCTTGTTGGGCATGAATCAAAGCATACTGTGTGGGTACAGGACAGTGACATAAGTGTGTCATGTATATAGTGAGTATGCTCTGGTTTTGTTTAACCATGCCCCTTTAAGCCTCCCACCCGACTTACCCATGGCTGCTTTACTGCTCTGCCCTGGGGGGGTTGGCAAAGGGAGGTGTGGGTACCTGCCCCTATTCTCTGAGGGAAAAAAAAAAAAGCCTTACTCATGCGTTTAGTGCGACTGACAAAAATATAAAGCGAGCAAAGGCCAACACATACTGTGCGTTTCTCAGACATCCTCAATCACACATATCGAGACAGCAGTGTTTAGTTAAAAGATGGCAAGTCAACTGCTGGAGACAGAAACATTGTTAATATTTAGAAAATACCACCACAAGCTAATCCCAGGAAAGGGGAATGTTAACAATCTTCTCGTAAAGATAAAAATAAATCTTCAGTTACATCAGGGTGTCCTGTCATCCTGGCTGCATCACTGTGCACCTTTAAAAAAATCATGTTTATAAAACCCAGAGGCTCCAGCTGCTGATCACAACTGTAACTGGATATACTGAGGCGTAGTCATTCTTTTTCAATACTTGTAGTTGAGTAATCTTGAATATTTTTCAGAAAACAAAAATGGTGGACTATCAAAGCTGCCACTACTCACCTGCTCAGTAAGCAGTTGCTTGGCTGTCATGCTGATCCACTGGCATCAAAATGTTTTGAGCAACTGACCTGAACAAGCATGCATATAAGTACTTCTGACTTCTGCATGCTTGCTCTGGGTTAGTGATTAGAGTACTGAAGGCAGATACAGCCATTACATCAGCAGTTTCAGAAAAGCAGTATGCATTTAAAAATCAGAGAACAGCTAAATGTGAATGCACAAAGGAGTGAGGGAAGGGGTGGGTGCAGCATTGCAGGGAGATTATAGTGCTTGTATTGCCATAAAACTGGGGGAAATAATAACGGCTTGACAAGGTTGTCTAATCTGCTTATAACCTAACTCCACATTTAATGTCCCTTTAAATAGTTCATTCAAGCCAAAATGGCCCAAAAAAAATCTATTTACTGCACAACAGGTGCACTTGCTGGGAGCACTCTATTAGCTGTAGCCTAAGTTACATACAGTATACAGTACTGTGTTCTGGCAGAGGGGTAAGACCTTCCCGTCCTATTCCCCAAACAAAACGAGTCAAGATCACTGCTGCTCAGCCATTCACAGGGAGCTTTGTATTCTATAAATGAATGCAAAACTTCCTATGATTGGGTGAGATGGAGAGGTGGGCTGATGGAGCCTCAATCTTTGCTTTAGCCAATCAGAGTACGCTTTGTATTCATTCATAGAATATAAAACTTCCCATGGATGTCTATGAGCACCCAGGTACAGCACTCTCAGACTGCATCAAACTACGTTTGAACGAACAAAGCGGTTGTTGAGGATACTTCTGTCTGTGTGATTAAGGGATACCAGAAGATTGATAGCAGTTTTTGAATATGTACATTTGTAAGGGTGATTTATATTTGAAAAAGAGGGCCATTACTACTGCATTTATGAGATTCCAGAAAATGGAAGACACTTGACACAAATTGTTTAGCTCTGTATGGGATGAACCCAAAGTCAGCAGCATAGCAGGTCAGTGGACAGTGATTTGACATATAAAAAAAAAAAAATATCAGTCTTAAATCCAGTTGTAATCCCGGTCCCCACATCACAGCCCCTAGCACTAAAGGGTGAGTGGATGCAAAAGCCCTTAATGGGTCCCATTCTTTCCAGCAGTTCTCTAAAGCAAAGCTTTACTATGGAATAAGGGAACTCTGCAGTGTGCATGTTCAGTAGGTTCAGTCCTCACATGAGGGAGCTCAGTGGAGAGGGAAGAGGTAATTGTGTGCCATTACAAACCTGCTTGTGGAAAAAACAAGGCCCCACTAAGGGTAAGTACACTACAGAAAACTTTCTGAAATAAACACATACAAAGAAAAAAGTACCATTATCAGTCCTATAAGCTAGTTCAGTGTTAATCACACTAATATTATAATCATGTTAAAGTGAACACTCACCATCGATCAACATGAAGAGCTGTAAATGTGCGCGCAGCAGCTTCTTTTGTAAACAGTTTGAAACCACATTGTGTGTCTTTGACTCCGCGTACACACAAAAACCAGACAAGGAAATGAAAACCATACATAAGGAAGGTCCTGAACATAGAACGCTGAAAAAAAAATAACAACAGATTAGATGTTTAAAAAAAAAGGTCAAACAGGTCAACACAATCATGTTGGGGAATCCTTCCTGCAATGTTATTTTGTTCTGCCAGCAAAGAGCCTTCCCAGCTGGCAGAACACAATGATGCCTGTGGGCGGCTATAGTCACTGGAAGTGATCACATTGAAAAAAATACAAGAGGCTGGTTGTACTGAAGCGGATTGATGGATCAACTTCAGTACAACTAGCCTGCCCATAGATAGATCAAATCTCAGCGGATTCCTGCTGAAACGGATGAAAGTCGATCCATCTTTAAGCAAAAGCAGTTTGGCTGATTTGATGCCTTATATTCAACTAATAAATAAATAAAGGAGACAGGAAAGTATTGGAAGTGTTGCTTAGAGTGACCAGTGTGAATTCAGCAGCCACTTGCAGTAAAAGGTGGAAAATGAGAGCTTCCATCTTATTTTCTATTTTACCACCACAGTGTGCGTCAAGCGCACTTATACACACACTTGTTGTCAATTGCTGTGTTGCTTTTTTAAAATGAGATTCAATACTTGCTTTAAGTTCACTAAGATTTATTTGTAAACAAAACTTCAACTGACTGTTTGGACTTTTGAATTTATGTGCACTGTGGTGTGCTTGTATGCCATTGAAAAAGTAAGGCATGTTTTACTTGCGCATCTGGTGTAAACGGACACTAACAACTTATTCACATTTGATGTATTTTCCCCAGAAACTCCAGGACAGGAGTAAATACATCTTTAATTGGACACGTTCAACACAGAGTTGGGTTTTGAGCGCATTTGGGAAATGCTCTGCATTTATTGTGTGCTGTGTCATTTTAAAAAAAGCAACACAGCATGCAAATGCATGTCAACAAGTGTGTGTATAAGTGCGACACACACACACAGTGGTGGTAAAATAAAAAATAAGATGGAAGCTCTCATTTTCCCCCTTTTACTGCAAATGGCAGCTGAATTCACACTGGTCACGCTAAGCAACACTTCCAATACTTTCATGTCTCCTTTATTTATGATTTATTAGTTGAATATAAAGTCATCAAATCAGCTTTTGCTGAACCATCTATTCAAAACTGTAACATCAGTTTTTAGTAGTCTTGAGGATTTGACATGGCTGAACGCAGCGCAGGATGTTGTGGGCTTATGGCAAAATCTTGGGTAGAGGGGGTGGGGGTACTTTCAAGTTCAGGTAGTACCATGACTCGTTTCTCTTAAAGAATATGTCAATACAAAATTTCATATTCCAGATATGTACCTGCTGTACTATGTACTTGTATGAAAAAGTGCCCAGTTTTCTTTGTATTGCTTCCTTTGTATGAAATCCCTGGTGTTCCTGCCAGTCCCCCTGATCTCCTAATAAAATCTGACCACACTAGGAATGAGAGCACAGCGCAGTCAGAATACTAACTGGGCAGAGAGCCTGCTCTCCTCCAATGAACAGACTTGTCCTAAAGGGAAAATGTCACCAGCACACCGAGGATCACCAATATGGGTCCAAAGGTTTTAATGAACGATCACATAGTTACAGCAAGGCAATGTTTCGGAGTCTCGCAGGACCCCTTCATCAGGCATTAGTCACATGCCTGATGAAAGAGTCCTGTGAGAATCAAAAACGTTGCCTTGCTGTAACTATGTGATCGTTCATTAAAACCTTTGGACCCATATTGGTGATCCTCGGTGTGCTGGTGACATTTTCCCTTGCTGATTTTGTTCGGTTCCAGCCGATGGTCGCTGCAGCACCCACTTATACACACAGCCATTTTTAAACGCAGGAACGTGTGCGTTTGGATTGTACACTTGCAGGCTTGTCCTAAGACGCTTCCCCCCATCCCCCGCACAGCCATTCACTAGGAAGACCAGTGTAATGCTATTTCTCCTCCCCTAGCTCTCGGAGTGCCTTTTGCAGCTGAGAACAGAGAGTATGTGATCACTCATTTAAAAAAAAAAAAAAAAAAAAAAAAAAAAAAAAAAGGGTGAGGGTTCACATATATAAAACTTAATTTTTTGTGCTTCACCACTCCAGCAACTATTGCCACCACTTAGGTGTAAAGAATAAGCCCTCAGCCCTGAGTATCATGACTTAGACCAGGGGTGGGCAAACTTTTTGACTTGAGGGCCGCAATGGGTTCATATATTGGACCCGGGGGCCGGACCAAGAGTAGATGAATGATGTGTATGTGTCATCCATAGTAAGTATAGTAATATTCCCCCATAGTAAGCATAGTAATTAATCCCCCATATAGTAATTCATCCCCCATAGTAATTCATCCCCCATATAGTAATTCATCCCCCCTATAGTAATTCATCCCCCCTATCCCCCCTATAGTAATTCATCCCCCCTATTAATTCATCCCTCATAGTACTATTCCCCCCCCCTAAGTAGTAAGCCAAGTCCCCCCTGTGTCAATTTACTTACCTTTGCTCCGCGCGTTCCTCTCGCCGTGTTCCTGCGCCGTTCCGGTCTTCAGGGCGGACTGTGAGAGGAGCCTAGCTCCCCTCACGTTCGTCACGCTGCCCCGCCTACACACATCCTGACAGCCATCCTGACAGTATCACGCTCCGCGGGCCAGATTAAAAGGTCCGCCGGGCCGTAGTTTGCCCATTGCTGACTTAGACTATCTACAGTGCTGTCTCAGACAGCTGAATAAAATAGCATGGGAGCAAAAAGGAAGGGTAGTACATGAAGCTGGGAAGCGTTAAGGGAGCCTGCTGCTTTGTTCTGCATGCACTCACTTTTTTCACAATATTTTAATACTTAGGGTAAAGGTTCACACAGGGGGGTAATAGGGAAAAAGCAGTTTTACATTTGTTCTTTGCAATCTAAAGCAATTAAAATAAAAGCAGCAACCAACTGTGCTTTTCAAGAATTAAAAACATAATTTGCTAGCACCAATGGAAGCACTAAAGACGTGATCTATCCATGCTGTCTGTGTGGAGAACCATGCCAAGAGATGTCATGCATGGCTTGTGAGACTGACTCACTGCTTTCCTCTACAGTCTGCAAAGAGCTAGAGGTGAACTTCAGGAATTCTTCGCACCACTCTTACCTTTAGATTTTAGGTCATATTCTGGTCAAGGATATTACACATCTACAGGGAGGTAAAAGTCCTAGCGATTTCACCATTTTTACAACATTGAAAATGATAGTGCGATTATAACAGGCAGATCCTCTAAGGATGTATACCTGAAATGTCCAGTATCAGTGTGTACAGTAAGGCAGTAGGCACTGATCTTCAATGAATATTTGCTAAAATCCTTGAAATGTATATAATTGTCAGAGCTGATATTTATTTTCTCTCTCCAATGTGCTGTTCTGCGACTTTTTCCCCCCTTTACTCACTGTTATAAATATAAACATTAAGAAAATCTTTTACCTTGGCTATAGACTCCTCCTCTAGGTGCGCTCGTGACCCGCACGATATTGCCAAGTTATCCTAGTTTGAAAAACAGAAATATGTTCTACTGATTGTAAAGTTAGCAACATTAGCATCAGAACAGTGTGTCTATAATGTTTAAATAAGCCAAATGAAACTCGACTTGAAAGATCTTCCATACCAAAACCTAAAGGCATACTAATAAAGAAACACTCACCGGCCAGGGTTTTAGACTCTCAAGGCCATCTTCGACATTTTTTAGATCTTCAAACTTGGTGGCACCATCAGCATCGGCCATTAACACAGTCCTGCCTCGTGACACCAACGTTCCCTAAAAAAAAAAAAAAAAAAAAAAAAAAAAAGTAGAAAATGCTTATACACAACACACACACACACACACATTATACACAACACACACACATATTTGTTGTTTCCACCCCAACGTGCAGGCTGAATCATACCAAGTGTCATTCAACCATTTCCTGTGAGCCCATTTAGTCAGCAACAAATTCCTTTGGGGTATATCATTATGCAGCACACAGTGAAAAGCTGTGTAGAATGGTGCCCACATTCTTTGTGGCAGTAAAGGCCACCCTTGTTAACCACTTGCCAACTGCAGATAGCCGAATGACGGCTTCACGGCGGACAGCCAGTTCTGAGAGGGCGTCATAAGACGTCCTCCCACAACGCGCCCTCCCACGCGCCCCCAGCGATCTCCGTGTCCTACGGACACAACTGATCACGTGATGTGGTAATAAGCCAATCACAGCGGCCTTTTACCACGTGACCAGCCGTGTCCAATGAGGCAGCAGATCACCGGTAAATACAGTTGCCGGTTATTGGCTATACTTTCCTCACACTGTCACAGCATGAGGAAAGTACTGCCGATAACCAGAAATTGTCAGAGGACGGATCGGCACCGATCATCAGGGCACTGATGATCAGTGCCACCCACAAGTGCCCATCAGTGCCACCAGTCAGTGCCCAATGCCAGCTCATCAATGCACATCAGTAAAGGAGAAAAATAACCTTTATAATACAAACAAAGAAAAAAAAAAAACGTTTTTTTTTCCCCAAAACTTTTTGCTCTTTTTGTTTATGGCACAAAAAATAAAAAACACCCAGTGGAGAGTACATACTACCAAAAGAAAGCTCTATTTGTGTGAAAAAAATTATAAAAATTTCATATGGGTGCAATGCTGCATGGCTGCACAATTGTCACTCAAAGTGAAACAGCGCTGAAAGCTGAAAATTGGCCTGGGCACGAAGGGGGTAGAAGTACCCGGTAGGCAAGTGGTTAATGCTGCAGAAGATAAACCCTGTTTGTCATGTGATTAGCAGGAAGACAGTTACATTTTAGGTACTTATGGAAATTTTAGAGGCAGCCCTAAACAGCATTTGAGTTTTTAGGGAAGAACCCCCTGCTAATTACAAAACCTTGGAGGAAACCTGTTGGAACAAGGTGCTTCACTGGTTCTCTCTATCAGCCTCTGAGGCTGCTGGGGGTTGCAATGCCAAAGCATACATTTTCTTCTTTGCTTTGTTTGCCTCCTGTCAAGCTTTCCAGACTGCTCTCCATCTGTGTAGCTAAAACATTATGTCATGGCTGTATGGCAGGGCTGCCGATAAGGGGGTACCACAGGTCCTCCTGTGGGGGCTCAGGCACACAGGTGAGGCCCTGACAGCAAGGGGAACTGGTGCAGCAGGACAATTACAGGAACGACGCTCTGTGCGGCTCTCTGCAGCAATTGAAAGCCAGTCCCCTCCCATCCGCCAGCTTTCAGTTGCTGCAGGAAGACACACACGACATTGTTCCTATATTTAAACCCCACACCGCTGTACCGATTTCCCTCCTTGCTCTGCCTACATCTGATTCCCTCCCGTGTGCCCGGGCGCCCCCCCCCCCCCCCGCAGCGCTGCCGGCTGCTGTGGGTACACAGGGGGATGTTCAGGATGGAGAGCAGGGGAAAGGGCCAGTAAATACAGCTGGTAAAAGTATAGAACACATCACCATTTTTCTCAGTAAATACTGAGGGGCTAGTGACATGAAATTTTCACCACATGTCGGTAACAACTCATGCAAACCATACATACAAAGTAACCAAAACAAATAAGTACAAAAATCAAGTTATGTGTAATAAAATGACACAGGGAAAAAAAAATTGAACATACGAAGAAAGGGAGGTGCAAAAACGCATGGAAAGCCAAGGCACCAGCTGAAATCTATCAGTAATTTGCACCGCAGGCAGGATTGCCTTCTAATTACCATCAGCTGGCTCAGTCTCAACTGATGGCCTATAAAAAGGCATCTGATTACCCAGGTGTCACACAAAAAACATCTCATGATGGGTAAAAGCAAAGAGCTCTCTCAACCTTATTGTTGCGAAACATACTGATGGCATTGGTTACAGAAGGATTTCTAAACTTCCAAGTGTTCCAGTGAGCACTGTTGAGGTCATAATCCGGAAGTGGAAATAACATAATTTCACCATAAACAGGACACCACTAGGTGTTCCTCACAAGATTTCTGACAGAGGAGTTAAAATAATTATCAGAAGAGTTGTCCAAGAGCCAATAACCACTTGTGGTGAGCTTCAGAAAGACCTGGAATTGGCAGGTACAATTGTTTCAAAGAAAACAATAACTAATGCACTCAACCACCACGGCCTGTATGCATGCTCACCAAGAAAGACTCCATTGATGAAGAAAAAGCATGTTGAAGCTTGTTTAAAGTGTGTTGCACAACATTTAGACAAGCCTGTGAAATACTGGGAGAATATAGTCTGGTCAGATGAGACCAAAATTAAATTCTTTGGATGCCATAATACACACCATGTTTGGAGGTCAAAAATGGCACTGCACACCACCCCAAAAACACCATACCAACAATGAAGTTTGGAGTTGTGAACATCATGATGTGGGGCAGTTTGTCAGCTCAGCATACGGTACTGGCAAACTCCACATCTTTGAAGGAAGGATAAATGGAAAACTGTACCAAGATATTCTTAATAAAAATCTGCTGCCATCTACCAGGATGAAGAAGATGAAACGAGGGTGGACATTTCAGCAAGACAATGATCCCAAAAACAAAGCCAAAAGGAAACTCTCAACTGGTTTCAAAGAAAGAAAAAAAAGCTACTAGAATGGCCCAGCCAATCACCTGACTTAAATCTATGGAAAGAACTAAAGATGAGAGTTCATAGCAGAGGCCCACGGAACCTTTACGATTTGAAGACTGTGTGAAAGAATGGGCCAAAATTACTATAACAAGAAGCCTCAAGGAAGGAGGACATCCATCAAAACATGTCAGCCTTCAGGAACCCCGGTGAGGTCCCCCTAGGTCTGGAAGACTGTTGTATCCAGCCACGGATGTGTGATTTGAAGTGTGCTTTTCTTATATACTTGTGAGTAGTAACTTTACCTTTTTTACAATAAAAAAACCTTAAGTTAATGCAATAGGTTGGTGCGCCCCCTTTCTTCTTTTTCTTGCTATAAATGATTACGGGGGACATCCCCAGTCCTTAAAGGCAGCAAGACCATGTGTGATTACATGCTTCTACACTGAACCAAGACTTATGCGTAGGACAGTGTTTTTTCAACCTTTTTTGTGCAAAGGCACACTTTTTTCATGAAAAAAATCACGAGGCACACCACCATTAGAAAATGTTAAAAAAATTTACCTCTGTGCCTATATTGACTATATATAAAGTAATTCTCTTGAATAGGAATCAAACACAAAGAAATTATTTTATAATTACTTTATTATGAAATAATAAAGTATTTTATAATTGGACCCGGGGGCCGGACCAAGAGTAGATGAATGATGTGTATGTGTCATCCATAGTAAGTATAGTAATATTCCCCCATAGTAAGCATAGTAATTAATCCCCCATATAGTAATTCATCCCCCATAGTAATTAATCCCCCATATAGTAATTCATCCCCCATAGTAATTCATCCTCCATATAGTAATTCATCCCCCATAGTAATTAATCCCCCATATAGTAATTCATCCCCCATATAGTAATTCATCCCCCATAGTAATTCATCCCCCATAGTAATTAATCCCCCATATAGTAATTCATCCCCCATAGTAATTAATCCCCCATATAGTAATTCATCCCCCATATAGTAATTCATCCCCCATAGTAATTCATCCCCCATAGTAATTCATCCCCCATATATAGTAATTCATCCCCCATAGGTAATTCATCCCCCATAGTGTAATTCATCCCCCATAGTAATTCATCCCCCATATAGTAATTCATCCCCCATATAGTAATTCATCCTCCATATAGTAATTCATCCCCCATAGTAATTCATCCCCCATATAGTAATTCATCCCCCATAGCAATTCATCCCCCGTATAGTATTTCATCCCTCGTTATAGTATTTCATCCCCCGTATAGTATTTCATCCCCCGTATAGTATTTCATCCCCCATATAGTATTTCATCCCCCATATAGTATTTCATCCCTCATATAGTATTTCATCCCCCATATAGTAATTCATCCCTCATATAGTATTTCATCCCTCATATAGTATTTCATCCCCCCATATAGTATTTCATCCCTCATATAGTATTTCATCCCCCCATATAGTATTTCATCCCTCATATAGTATTTCATCCCTCATATAGTAATTCATCCCTCATATAGTATTTCATCCCCCCATATAGTAATTCATCCCTCATATAGTATTTCATCCCCCATATAGTATTTCATCCCCCCATATAGTATTTCATCCCCCCATATAGTATTTCATCCCTCATATAGTAATTCATCCCTCATATAGTATTTCATCCCCCCATATAGTATTTCATCCCCCCATATAGTATTTCATCCCCCCATATAGTATTTCATCCCTCATATAGTAATTCATCCCTCATATAGTATTTCATCCCTCATATAGTATTTCATCCCTCATATAGTATTTCATCCCCCATATAGTATTTCATCCCCCCATATAGTATTTCATCCCCCCATATAGTATTTCATCCCCTCATATAGTATTTTCATCCCTCATATAGTATTTCATCCCCCCATATAGTATTTCATCCCTCATACAGTAATTCATCCCTCATATAGTAATTCATCCCCCATATAGTATTTCATCCCTCATATAGTATTTCATCCCCCCATATAGTATTTCATCCCTCATATAGTAATTCATCCCCCCATATAGTATTTCATCCCCCCATATAGTATTTCATCCCCCATATAGTATTTTTCATCCCTCATATAGTAATTCATCCCTGATATAGTAATTCATCCCCCATATAGTATTTCATCCCCCCATATAGTATTTCATCCCTCATAAAGTAATTCATCC